TAATTTTTAAGTTGATTAATAATAAATTTGTAAAACAAAAGTTACGTGATGCATATAAATTACTACCTGGCTCTAGACGATCTCCTAAAATGGTATTGATGGTAGCTTATTCCATGCAAGCGCGAATACGCTCAAAAAATCGCGTATACGTGCTTACACAAATCTGTAGATCCCTGCGCCATGAGCGTGAACGCTCTAACCTGAAATTCAATAAAGAACGACAGTTCCCGTCCACTCTTAATTACCAATAAATAATAAAATATATCTACTTATCTGAATTTTCCCTTGTGAAGTATTCTTTCGAGACTCAATTCGACGGACTGAATTGACTTGTAACTTCGATTTGGCTTATTAAGACTGAATCTGGTGTACTTGTGGAATCAAATATTACCATTTACCTTAGTGACTTGAACGCGACTTACGTATAGTTACCAGACTTGGTTATCCGTCACGTGAACTTAAAGTTATCACTGATATCACTTGATCATCGTCCCTTAACAGCATCAACCATTGCATCACTCTATTATCATCACTTATTGATATTAAAGCATTACTCTATAGTGCCCTATCGCCCTACTAATTCCTTAACACTTATAAAAGACCCATTTCGCTTACCCAAAGTTAGCCTTATTTTTCGTAAACCGTTGGAGTTAGATTGGCATCTTATTTATATTATTACATTAGCTCTCCCATTTAACGGTTACGATAGAATCCATACATCATGTGTTCAAAATTACAACTAATGTGAAAATTTGATTTACAGAGACTGTAAAATTACATAAATTACGAAAAACCACGGTAATTTAACAACCTTATTGGTGAGATGAATTCTGTGCAAAATTACGTTGGAATGTAAAACACCGTTGTACATACGTAGTGATCCTGGCCGATCAAAATTTTTCGACCAGCTAAGCCGATAGAATTTTATCGGCTTAGTCGGCTTAGCTGAAAAATTTTGATTGATTTGGTAGAATGATATTAATAAATTAATGCGAGCTTGACTAGTTCAGCCAAAGTAATGTTAATTGGCAATTTACAGTATTTGTGAAATTCATTATTAATATTAATATTACGATTGTTGCTAAAAAATTGGCTGTTGAGCTACCAAGAACTGTAAGATATAAGTAAAGTTTTTCGGGCAGATATAGTATAATACCAACTAATCGATGTAAGAAATGCTTGTAGTGCACAATTTGAGGAAGCTATCTCCTTACAAAATCGACCAGCCGATTTTGCAAAAAATCGACCGGCTGGGTCGAAAAATCGGCTTGGCCGATTTTTTTGGTCATCGACCAGGATCACTATACATATGTACGTACTGATGCAGATCTTACTTTAGTTAAGGTTACTATTTTTACCCTGTCGTATATATTATAATGAAGATCATATGACATCAACCAATCAGAAAATCAGAATCGGACATTGTACTACCTAGAAAAATTACAATATATGTATGTTTTTTAAATTAATAATATTACCGTTATCGTTATAAATAGGAGTTTTAAAAAATTTTATCAGTGACACACTTTTATTACCATATAAAGTTCCGATCTACCATGCAGATCATATGAACATTACTCCTCTACCCTTAATTACTTTTTTAGCACGTAGCAAAGCTCCAATTCGCATTTTGCTTCTCCTATTTTAATTATATATAATTATTTAAATTTTTTATAATATATAATCTGTTTAGCAGATTTAAATTTTTTATAATATATAATCTGTTTAGCAGATTTAACCAAATTTAGTGCAGGTTTCACTTCATTATATAATTTAGATTATTTTTTAATAGCAAAGCTCTGATTCTCTTATTTTAATTATAAATAATCACATTTTAGTAATTCGCGTTTTGCTTCTCTCACTTTAATTATAAATAATTGCATTTTAGTAGCAAAGCACCAATTCGTGCTTTGCTTCTCTCACTTTAATTATATACAATAAAGGTTTAAAATTAAAATAAAAAATTTTATTTTTCTAATTTATAATTTCGTACAATTCTACTTATTTTATAAAAGCCCAATTATTATTTTTTCAATTTGCATCTTGCTTCTCTTACTTCAATTGTATATAATTATTTTTTAGTAGCAAAACTCCAATTCGAGTTTTGCTTCTAAAAACAATATCTTTTAGTTTAGTTATTTTATACATACTATTATAAAAAAAAACACCTTTTATTATTCAATCTACATAATTTCTAGTAGCGGTTGGAGCTACAATGTGCATTCTACGTGATACACATTTTTGTAAAAACGAATAATCATTAAACCAACCAACCAATCCAGCAAACACAATTTGCATATACAATTTTTTTCATAACTTCGAAATAAAATAACTCAAGTTGTAGAAAATAAAACTATATACCCAGGCTAAAATACCATTTACAAATGCAGAAACTTTATTAAAAATATTCTGATAAAAAGTTACAAACCCTTTAATATTTATTAAAACTTTATGCAAAATTATACTATTTTATATATAAAATGGATCAAACCTCGCTTAAAGAATACATATAACCCTCTGCAAAATTTGAAGCAAATAAAAAAAAAACAGAACCTATAAAAATGATTTTAAGTTCATGAATTAAATAGCAACTCTTAGTAGTTCTACCTTTTATTGCGTGATTCAACATAAGTCAACTTGGTTTTCATGAATACTACGCTATATAAAGGGAACGTTTAAAGCAAGGGGCATTAGAATTACTTTTTTGATGCAGTTAGGGTTACGTTTTGATGCAGTAATGGTGAGTGATTCATATAAATATCACGAATATAATATGTAGATCATTTCTAAGTTTATATCAAATGCACCTTGACCCTTATGTAATGTTGATCTTGGAAATAATCGGATGTCCTCCATGCTACTGGGATAGGATTTGGTCTCTTAATGTTAAAAATATTAAAACTTTACATTTTTAAAATGCGCAATGAGATTCAAACTTGTGTGAAAACCTCATGCTATATTTACGTGCAAGTCTGTATAAAAAAAACTTCATTCAAATCTGTGTGACAAAGACTTCATTCAAGCTTGTGTAACAAAGACTCTGTATTATATTAATAGGAAGCAAACGCGTATAGACTTTAATAGACTTTAATAGTCTTTTTGATTCTCATGCTATTCGGTTCTCATAGTTTTGTCCCAGTTATTTGCAAAATACATCATAGACTTCGTTATTTGGTTCTCATCATATTTTGGTTCCAATTATATTTTTTTCTTCTTTACATGATGTCATCAGAGGTCTTGAAAGTTTTAAATCAAAGTAAACTCCAATATCCAGATTACTGGAAAAAACCAACTGAAGAATGAGCACTAGATACATGGAATAAATTTTTCAAAGAAAAATTTTTTAACGCTTCTCAAAAGAGGTCTCATCAAGTTTTGACTGACGAACTTAAAGTCTTAGAAGAAAGATTAAAACCAGGTATAAGGGCTTTTTGGAAAGTGTTATCTTTAAAACAAAAATTGAAGGTTAGTATTGTTACATACTAACAAGAGTACTGAGTTGCGCTATGCCTCATTAAGAACGTGTCAGGGATCAATTCACAACAGAGCTCGTCCTTCTCCCTCCTTCTAAGAAATTTAGTCTACTCTGATTGGTTATATATATTCAAACCAGAGATTTCATTTAACTTCCTCTCACTCTACGATATCTGAGTTGTGCTATGCCTCATTAGAAATGTGTCAGGGATCAATTCACAACAAAGCTTGTCCTTCTCCCTCCTTCTAAAAAATTTAGTTTACTCTGATTGGTTATATATATTCAAATCAGAGATTTAATTTAACTCCCTCTCACCCTACAATAACTGACACTTCCCTTAGCTACATATAATGAGGAAGAAGAGCGTCTCGACTGTGAGCTGTCTTACCTCTAAGACGTGTGCACTTGTATTCTTAGATTCTTTCAGACCTGCTGATTTTGAAGAAAGAATCAGTCATGTACTGTCTTTATGAAAAAAAAGGATCTTTGTTTACATACCATTTTTACATATTCTTATAGGTGTTTCACACAAAGAGAAAGAATTTGGCCAGTGACTTCTCAAAAAGAGATAACAAGAAAAATATACTGAGCAGCTCACAAAGATTAAAGAAGCAACAATCGAATACAAGAAACCCAAAAAACGAAACAGTTTTTAGCAACAAGAAAACTTTAATCCATTCAATTATAAAGAATTTAGAGCGAAAATCTAATCACGAGGTATAAAGGTTAAAAATCATTGTTTTTTTCATTATTGTTATTAATTATTGTTTTTAAAAATTAGTGGGTGGTACATAATATAAACGTCACCGAAAGATTTTGCAAATACAAACAAGAAGTGATTGAAATAATTGAAAGTACTGGCCTAACTTGGCATGATGCTTATAAGATATTGTGAGTATGCATTTTATTTTATAGCTTGATTTTTATATAGGATGTAACTAAGTGATGCTATGAGTCTGCATCGATAGTATTGATTAGTGTTTCGATCCTATTCTTTAAGAGCCATTCGGATTGAATTCGGATCCTACTTCGTGTATCTAGATAATAATCCGAATCTGGATTCAATTATTCTATATTCGTAGTTGCACTAAAATTTTAAACTGTATTTATTATCATTCGCTGCTCAAATTAACCAATTACATAAAAGATATCTAGAATGATCTTATGTATTACGGATCAATCCGGTCAAAATTAACGGATACGGATATCCGAATTCAATCCGAATTATCGGAGCTATCAGAATTAGTCAGATTACAGATCGAAACATTAGTATTGAGATAATTAATTATCATTATATTAATATGAAATATTATTTGATTTCAGGGCTCTCTTGTCTATAATGCAACTCACACCACACTGTCCTTATCCAGATTGTTTCACTAGTGAAGAGTGGAAAATTATAATTGAAACAAATCCATACAAGAACTATGAGCCGGTTATATCCCCTGCAACCTCATGTGCACTCTGGGAAGCTATTATAAAACATATAAACGGGAAAGATAGTTTTATCTATCCAAATGACACACCATTAAGCAGATTAACATCAAGAGTGTTTAATGAGTTGTAAGTAGATATATATATATATGTAAATATTGTTTAATTAATGTTTTTATTTTGCTTATTTAAAAAATGTATTTAATATATTAAGGTGTGAAAATATACCAAATCTTGCACCTGAAATTATATCAGAGCAAGAACACTATGCTCAATTTTTATATTCTTATATAAACCTAATTTTTTTAAAAAGAAATAACGAATATAACGTGCAGTTGGACTATAATGTAAAAGACACAAGACAAAGGCCTGATTTTGCCTGCACTGTAGATGAGGTTCCCCTCATGAATTCAGAAATAAAACCTCTAGGGTGTGGTCCCTTAAAAAGGGAGAAGGATATTATAAAGGCTTATTTACGAGCGGTTAAATCGATTAATCAGCAGATATTTGCGAAGGGCAGACCTGGTGAATCCATGATATTCCTTAATTGTGGTTTGTTTTTTTTTTTAATTTATTCGTATTAATTATAAAGTAGCTTAATTTATGTTATTGTTTACGAATTTATTTTAATTTGTTTATTGAAAACCACAGGCGATATTGCATAGTTGTATGTTGTAGATCTTCAATTTGATGGTATCTACAGATCGTGGCCTTTTTTTACGTCAAAATTAGTTATTGATGAACCAAGTTTACCATTAGTCGAGTCAAATTTAGAACATTTTATTTCATTGGAGGTATATGTTATTTTATGTTATATACGTACCATGGTTTATTATTATTCTAAAATATATTATACGTTTACAGAGCCATCTCACTGAACTAGCCAAAAATTACAAGAGCCAAAAGTGTTCTCTCACATCTCAAAAAGCTCAATATATGCGCAATACTTTGGATTTCTTTGAAATTCAGAAAATTCTGAATTAATGATGGGATAGTTATTCTGCCAATAGTGGCTACTGTTTTTCAAATCTGGTTGATTTATTGCAATTTAAACTTTTTTTTTGGCTTTGCCATTTTTTTCTCAAATTATTCTTTATAATAATTCAATTTAAGCATTTTCAGCTTAGCCACTTTTTTTAAAAGTTTATTTTATTAAGATAGTAATTTAAGCTTTTTTTAAATCTGATTCATAAGCAAAAAGTTGTTTCTTAATATAATGATAGCAAATAATAAATTGTAAATATCAGTAACATTGCTTTTGTCAGACATTTGTTAAAGGTTGTCATGTAATCAATTGTATTTTTGTATAATACAGTCAGTAAAGCAAAAAAATTTCTATTGATTTCGATTTTGGCTAGAAGTCAGGTAACTCTGACTGGAATTATGATGATCACATGGTTGTTTCGAATTTCGGGGCTTACTGTAGGGTGTCCAAGATTATGATCCGGCATAATATGTGCATAATATGCGATTTTTACTATATGAAATCGCATAATTGTGGTTAAATGGTGTCCCTGTGACTGTAATCACCTGACTTGTCGTTCTTTTTGAAAATTTATTGGCTAATAACTCAAAATTCGCATAATTCGCATAATTCGCATAATTCGCATAATTTGCAATTTATTGGATGCATAATTTGGCATTTACCGGATCATAATTCTGGACACCCTAGCTTACTGCTGTACTGCGAATTTCAATCACATGATAATATTTGTCTTGAGCCAATAATATCATTTTCATGTGATTTATTTTTGTATGTAACTTGGAGCAAAAAATTGTGAAAAATTTCGATTGGGGCAAAAAATTTTGGTTTCTTTTGTGTCCCTGAATATAGTATAGGGTGTCCAGAATTATGCGATGCGCATAATTGACTAGTTTTCGCTGAGTGCGCAACAGATATGCTTACCAATCAAAATTAGCATACATGTAAACAAATTTGATCGAAGTTTTCTCGATAATTACCTCAATGAAATTTTTTAATTTTAATTTTATGAATATGTAGGATTAAAATAAAAAAAAAATTCATCGAATTTTGTCAGGTAGTTATCGAGAAACTTCGCTTAATTTTAGAAAGAACTGATTCGTCTATCAGTAAA